CCTTTCTGTGTTTAAAGCAGCTCGGGATAGAAGAGCATTRAACTACAAATTATGATGAAGAAAAACTTTCTTACCTCTCCCATCTTTCTTGGTTCCCTGTGCAAAGCTCCTGGCTTGTCAAGTCACGGGCTGTCCCAGCTGCCTCCGTCACTGTACAGCAGCCGCAGGGAACAGCTCTGCTTCACGTGGGAAAGGAGCTGGCAGCGGGACCAAATCCCCGTGAAGTTGCAGGAGGAGGGGCAGTTCTCCCCGGAGCTTGAATGAGCAGGACAGGTTTGTGGGTGCTCTGACTTGGTGCTTCTGTGAAAACGGGCCATTTATTTTGCTGTTTGTACCAAGCCACCTCTGAAGGCGGCGGAGGCTTCTCCGTGTACCCAGGTGCTGTTGTGTGACTTTGCCCTCCGTTATGGTGAAGCTGGAGCGACCCCAGCTCTCCTGCAGTGTTTGGCCTCTCCTTGGAGCACATTTGACCTGCTCTGGTTCTGCTCTCTGCACTAGAAACATGTCTGAACAATCTCTGGGTTGCTTTTTGTTTGGAAGAAGCGAAGATACCACTAAGATACCACTTGGGTTAAGGTGTCCCCTACCTCTATATATGAGGATCCTCAAAGCTGGCAGGTGTTTCAGTAGGCAGCGATGGTGCCGTTGAGCTCCACCAAACATCTTCCAGTCCCGCGCCATAAAGCTGGCAGTGCCTCACAGGGCCACGAGATCCTCCTCTTTTCCCCAGTGGCTCCGTGGCTCCCGTTCCCTGCACGTCCCGGGGTGTTTTGCTGGAGGAGACGTCCTGGCTGCTCTATATGATGCAAAAAAAGGGAAGCGGGGTTAGYAGGAGACTGTTATTTGGTTTCTCTTTTTGTTTTGTTTTACACGTGACTTCCATAAATCTCCTGGTTTCTCCTACGGTTTGTCCTCATCCCTGTGCCAAAGCTGTTACCATGCTCCAAGCAAAGCGTAATTTGGAGCCACTGCAGGGCTCGGTGCAAGTGTTTCTTTCTGTTGCTCCAAGCTAGCATCTAACTGCAGGAGGAAAGGAGGAAGGAGCGGAGCATCGTTCCGGCCGCCGCTGCAGCGCGCGGCGCCCACAGGCATCGTCCCCATTCAGGCTGTGCCACCCACAGCCCCCGCGGGCTCTTAGGACCCACCGAGGTGTCTGACGGTTCGCACATTGTCYGTGGGCTGCCGGGTCTCTGCTCTCCCAGCACTGGGACACAAAACAAGGCCCTTTCGTAGACCCTTTGCCAGTTCTCCATTATTTGCCCTGAGCAAGGTGTTGTTTGAGAGACAAGTCACCAAGGTTTTACCGCATACACGGGTTTGGGAGAGCCCCCGTGGTGCGAGCTCTCCTTGGGTTAACATTGAAGGCCTCAGGTTTAACCCGCCTCGTGCTGAAGCCAAGTCTCAGCTCAAGCTGGCCCGTGGGCAGGAGGTCGGGGCGCTGCTCGCACTGCCTTCGCTCTCTGGAGGCTCGGCAGGGTGCTCCATGCTGTTCCTTAGGCTGGGACTGCCTTCCCTCCCGCGCGAGCTGCTGCTTTGCGCGCGCCTGGGTTTATGCTGGGCTTTGGAGCCTATTCTTGCTCTTYGCCTGTTGAGGACCTTGGCAAGCGACGCCACGGTGACGCGTAGTGCAAACAGTGCTGGGGAAGAGGAGGCGAGCTGAGCCGCGGAGCCCCGCAAGGAGCACACGGCCGCGCTGCGCTGCCCTCCMTCCCGCAAAGCTGCCGGGAACTGTGCAGAGCCGCAGCCCCGGTCCCGCGGGTTGCGACACGAAGCTCCGTTGCTTTCAACGCCTGTAGGTCGCAGCAGCCGGTTTTGCCGTGGAAAGCCTCTGTCCTGGCACGGGAGCGTGGTGAGAGGGTGAGAGGGGAGGGTTTGTCGCGAGAAACCTGGCAGCCCGAGGATGGATTTCTTTTGATTTCAATATGCTGAGCACGCTAATGAATGCCAGAGGGAACCTCGAACGCTGGCACGAGGGGAAGCGGAGAATAAAACGTTTAAGCAGCACCTCTGCTTATTTCATGGTTAAGTTATTTTGTATTAGCCCCGGAAATTGCTGCTGCGTCTCTCCGGTGAGGACGCAYGCAGGCTGCTCCATTAGGAATGTTCAGAGGGACGTGGCGGCCTCGCCGCTTCCTCCTCCGCTTCCACTTACGTGGCTTCTGGGTGCCGTAGGAGACGCTTTAATTCAGCTTCCAGACAATCAGCCACCTAGTTCTGGTAATCGTAGCCGCAAACAGACCATATATATGCACATATATATCGATCTSTTTGCGACTGTGTGTACTGTGGGGGATAAAGTATTTTGCGAGTTGCGTGGCTCTGCTGGCAGGTAGCCCCAGAGGAGCAGAGCCAAGGCTTCGGTGAGCACTGTACATCTTTTTGGGCAAGAAAATGGTATTTCTGTGAAGAGGGAGGCAGGGAGAAGAGCACTGCCTGTCAGCTCACCTCCTTGCCCTCGCTTTGAGGGGCTGCTTTGCGGTTATATAGGGACTCGCATGCGGTAATTCACAATAAGTCTCATTCTTTGACTATCAGGAGAGTGAACTGAATAACCAAGAAATGGAAACCTGGTTTTAGCTGAGCACAAACGCATTTTGTTGGGGGAGCAAAGCTTTGCGTGTGCAGCAGCAGCAGCCGGCGCGGGTCCTGGCACGGGCTTCGGCTGGGCCCACCGGTGAGGCGCGTCCAACACACCTCCTGCTAGAGCTCTCAGTTGTCTTGCGTTTAATCACATCGTCTGTCAACATATGGCTGTCGTGCAGACTTACCACGAAACAATTTTGGCAGGGCCTCCTTTCACACATTTCCCATTAAACACCAAGGAGACAAACCGTAACTCGCTGCCACTTCTTAGCCCTTTGCAGCGTTGGCAGGACGGCGAAGCTGAAACTGTGAAGCTTCTCTATAGCAACTCTTCCCGTGTTTATSATCTCCCCCAACGTCTGCGAATGCAGCAACCTGAGCCTGATTTTCAGCCAGCCCCCYGCTGCGTTCAGCATTCGCGGTATTTTTCCATCGTCAAATTGCTGCCRTCCACCTAGGCAGAAGTGGCGAGCAAGCCAGGGAAGGGGCCGCTCTGCGGAGCCGGCTCCACCACCGGGATCCACCATCGGCCGCGGCCCTCGCCAACTGACTGGYTTTTATTGTCCCCTTCTGCGTTTGCTTTTCGCGTGATACTCGTGGTGCCCTTGCACCCCGTACGTAGAGCAGGGCGCTGCAAACGTTACGGAGCTCCTGATCTGGTGCCTTTCTGCCGGGCAATTCCCACCTCGTCCCGGCCTCGCTTGTCCTCGGAACGTGAGTGAACGTCGGCGGCCGCTCCAAAGCCACTGTTAACATAGTTGCTGTTTCCTTCCACCCTGGAATTAGCGCCAGGGTGGCAGCTTTGAAACCCGGGGCAGAGCTGCCACACGGGCTGAGCTCACACGTCGGCCGAGCTGTGTCTCCCCGGCCTCTGCTTGGACCCTGCCCTCCATGGGGGCATTTTGAGCCGTTCTTTTCAGCAGCTGTGGAGAGAAGGGGGCTTCAGGCAGAGCCGAAGCTTGAAGCAAGGCCGTGCCTGCCCGCAAGCAGCCGGGTTTCCTCAACCCGAGACTGCAAACCCCGGCCTGAAGCTTCAGCTGCTGCATTTGCTGAGCTCCGGTTTGTGAGGGAAAGCGGATTCCTGCTGCTGTCAGAKGCTCAGGGAGCTCATGAAACACATCTATTTCCGCCACTTGAAGGTTTGTCAGTGATTTTTCTTCCCTGCCTGTGCTGGAAGCTCCCTTGGCTTAAATCYCGTGTGTTTCCTCTCCATGGTCCCTTGGCCAGCACACGTGGCAGTTACCTTAAGTGGAAAACAACGCGGTCCTGTGGGGTGGGTTTTGTTGAAGAAGGTGCCGCAATCAGCAGTCACCATCTGGAAAGGGCTTGTGGGCGAAGGCGGGGGGGTTTCCTATGAAAAKGAGGCCGAGCGGGAGGAGAGAGACCTTCCTGAGGGAGAAGAAAGCCCCTGTCTCCCTGCCCTGATCCACATCCTGGCTTTCAGCAGGCGAGCGCTACCCGGGCTTCCCTAAGGAGCCGCCAATTCACCGACCTCCGAGTGCAATGAGACGTGGTCGCTGCGTCTCCTCAGGGCAGCGGAGCCCGAGTCACGCAGGCCCTCGGTTCTCGGGTGGCTTCCTGCGCTTCACCCGGAGAGCTGCAAGCGTCAAAACGCCCCTCCGATGCTCCGATCCCCTCTCAAAACATCCCTCCGTTGCTCTGATCCCTTCTCTTCACAGAGCGGCATTTGTAGCAGTTACAGCTCCGGCATCACAACTCTTCCGAGGGCYCCGCTACTTGCAGGTCTTCTGGAAATCTGTGTTTTCATAGTTTATGAACCCCCAGGGGGACGTGAATCTTTCAGACTTCATGCAAGGAAAACGTGGCATTTTAGAGTCTTTGGTATAGCCTCAGGTTGCTTGGTTTTTCCTAACAAAGTACTGATTTTCTGCTCTTTCTTCCCTTTTTTTAGCGCAGACTCGCAGTTGTGCTGTTCGATTTGCACTCTGTGTTCTCTCTATAGCCAACATAATCCTATTTTCTTATTACTTAGCCACATAATCAAAACGTCAAAGGCATTTCTATGCCTTGGGAATTCCCTTATTTTTCGCCTTAAAATTCCACTTGCAAACACGTCTGAAGCCCCTCGTTTATAATACAGAACAAAACCCTATTCAGTGACTAGAAAAAAAAGACCATGGAAGCATTTTGCATTGCAGCAAGCATCCCTGCATACAATAACTTAAGTCATTTTAGCAATACAGAATGGGTAGAACTGGTCGACATTCAGGGAGGAAAAGGGGAAAAAAACCCACTTTTTCGCATGTTTTCAGACCACTAAAAACAAAGTGGCTGCTGACCCGAAGGCTCTACTAGGTGGTGTTAACCACTCAGAGCGAACATCGTGTGTTGGGGCATCTTCTTGCTCCAAATCTCAGTCTGTGAACGCTGCTCTTCTGTTCTCCCCGCAGGCAAGTATGTCTACCAGCCCATGACGCCCGTGGAGCAGCTCCCGAGCACCGAAATACCCGTCCGCCCGCGGGAATCTGCCAACACCATCCAGATCTCCGTCTCCCTCACCGAGCACTTCCTCAAGTTCGCGCCCGTCTTCCAGCCGCCGCTGCCGCCGCCCTCGCCGCAGTTCTGCACCATCGCCGACCTCTTCATCGACAACTACCGGGTGAAATGCATCAACGGCAAGATGTGCTACGTGCAGCGGCAGCCCCCGCCGGCGCCGCACAAGGGCCGGCCCGAGGAGGCGCCCGCCCGCGATGCCTTAATCACACACGAGAGCAATACGCCAAAGCCGGAGCACTGCTCGTCCCCCTCCAGCTCCGAGGACTCCGGCATCAACGCCGTGGGCGTTCACTACGTGGAGTCGTGCGATGAGGACACGGAGGGGGGCGCGGAGCTGAGTTCCGAAGAAGACTACAGCCCTGACAGCAGCTGGGAGCCCGATGAGTGCCCGCTCCTGTCCCCCTCGCAGTGCGAAATGGAAGTGATCGAGACTATAGAAACCACCGTGTGAGCCAGCAAGGTGGAAGCAGATCAGTCCGGTTCCCACTCAGTAACGTTGCTTTTGTAGTATTTCTAATTTTCCGTTTTTCTGACAATCCCTTTTTTCCAGTGCGCTCCGTTTCTCAGACGGCGCCCGGGCGYGCGGCTCGCGAGCAGCCAGCTGGGCGATGGTGACGTGTCCTCAGCCCAAGGGACTCTCCTGTGTAAGACAGSGGTGAACCCTAGGACTTCTATGGGCGAAGGAGGCCCTGTGCGTGGYGTGGGTTACAGGGTGCTCGTAGGGCGATGCGTGCACGGGGTGTCTTGCTGGTGCAGCAAGGCTGTCCGCGAGCAGCGCGGCCCCAGTGTCCTCGCTCGTCCCCGCGGGGCCGGAGCCGCTCTCCTTGTGCCCACGCGTCCCCGTGTGTCGGCCCTCGTGCCCGGCACTGGGCAGCAGGGCAGGCCAGAGAACGCACAAAGTGCCTCCTCGTTCCGCCAGGCTACGCACCCGGCATCCGCAGGCTCCGAAACCTCCCGAAAAGGCGATTCCTGCTCCGGAGGTCGGTCATCGCCTGCAGCCAGGGAGTCACTGTCCTGTGTGGGTCTTGCGGAAGGGGGTTGGCCCTTTTGCTGCTTAGCGGGAGGAAGAGGAGGGAGGGAGGAAGGAGCATGGCCCAAGCCATGACCCTTCTAGATGGAGGTGCCGAAGGGCAGGTGAAAGGCACTGACTACCTCCAAAACTGCCAAACGCCCTCAGGAGCGGCACCCGCGCACGGCACCAAGTGGCCTCAGGGCCCCTGTCTGCCTGAGGGATAACACGTTAAGAAGAAATAAGGTCAAAAACCCACTCCCTGGGCGCCCCACTGCGCTGGCGGAGCTCGGCCCAGCGCGGCAGCAGCGCTCGGTGGGTCACAGCCCAAGGTGACGCTGCCTGGGAGAGGCGCCCTCGCCTTCGCCCTCCTCCTCATCCAGTTCAGCAGCAGCATCTGAACAAGTTGTTCCTTAAACAGCTGCAAACACGAGAGCTGTTTTGCTGGTAGCTTTGTCTTGGCTACGCCTGGCAAAACAAAACTGTCTTTTCTCAGAAGATTTCAGTCAGCTCGAAGCAGTTGGAGTCAGTAATAACTGTGTTTTCAGCAGCATTACTGAATTTCTTTGTGTATTTACTGTTTACGTTTCAAAAGTCAGTGGTGAATATAAGGCTGTATAAACGTGTACAGTTTAGTGACTGATACTAGGTTGTAGTCTGTGTTCTAGAATGGCTCATCGCTCTCACTGTATCCTGACGACGTACTACTAATTTTATACACTTTGTAATCCGTAACTTTAGAAAATGTTTAGGTAACGGTGCGTGTGCGCGCGTGCACCCGCGCGTGTGCTAGGACTTTAACATACATGGCTAGGAAGTGATCCTGTACTTTTTAGACTAACACTTTCAGACAAAAACAATAGGTTTTATAGTTTTGATGACTTCTATAAAAAGTGCAATGCTTGTTAAATGAGGAGTTTGGGCCAGTGCATGAGCAGATACATTTTCACGAGGCACTTAAAGGTATTCCAGTGTTCTGAGGGCATTTAAACRAAGGCTGTAGTAAACACTAAATAGGATTTATTTATTTTTTAAGGGGGAGGGGGTTGTCTTTCTTGGTTAACCAAGGTTTCTAACAACGTTTTGCTGTCTTTTGACCAGACACATTTCATAGGTAGAAGAAGGCATTATGTATAAGCCTACAGCATTTACTCACATTTAATCTTTCACGTGTAACCTGCGTGGAGAGCTGTCGCCCTCGCGCGTGTGCCTGGCGGGTGCGTCCTCCCAGGTACCAATGGCAGCAGGACCTGCCACCCACTGTCACGGGTGGGGTGCCAGGCCCAGCAAGGGGGACCAGGACCCTCCCACGTGGCAAGAGGGAGCACAYGGGGGGCTGCTTTTAGGGTAGTGACAAATCAGTGGGGCTTTTTTTTGCCCACGAATTACCCTTAAGATCCTGCAGTCTTGCAGCTTCCTATCACTGTCGGCAAGATTCCTTCTTTCTTAACTGTAAGTAATTAGCAATATTCACAAGCTGTGAGTATCTCTTATACCAGGATTTGTTCGGATGTCTTAAGCACAATAAGCTGCCTCTCCCTTCTGTTGTACCTGTAAAACGGCCGTGGAGCAGCCTGGTGTGGGACAGGGCCAGTTCTGGGAAGTGTTTTAGCCGCCAACACTGTGGCCCCTTTCTCGCCGAGCTCACATCACTCACCTAGGTCAGCACCATCGTCCTCACACCACGGGGATTTCTTTTCTTTGCACAAACACGGGCAAAGCTCTGCTCTGCAAGGCTTGCCCTGAGCTACTTGCTCCACTCTGCCTGGGAGAGGTGTGTATGTTACTTCTTTAATAAAATACTAAACAACTGGAGCCCTTCTGCTTGTCCTGAATAACTGTGTGTTCTCCATAGTGCAGTGAAGCCTTCTGAGGTTTCCAGCAAAGGAGCGGTCACTCATGGCTACATGCCACAAGGGCACCTTGAAGCACCTGCTACGGGCAGAAATGCAGCAGAGCCTCGTGCAGCAGGTCCTGTCCAGGCTAAGGGATGGCCCGAGTACGGGGCTTGGGGGGAAGACCCGACATTGGGGTTCGACTTGGCTATGTAGGAACAAGCTGCCCACAGCAGGACAGGGCCCAGACACTTTGGTGCYGGCACCCGGTGGCCGCGGCACTGGAAGGCGGCAGCCTGTGGCTCGGCCAGCCCCGCAGCCACCACCGCTCCCCGCACACACAACCCGCACAGCCGGATTCCACCAGGGGCTGGTTTTTAATGGGGGGTCRGAGGAACAGCCCGCGCCCGGGTGAGCTCCCTCACACGCACAGCGTTTCCTGGCAGGCTCCAGCCTTGCCAGGCCCACGGGTTGGTGCCATCCAACCATCCCGGGCTCTTTCCCGGAGGCAGCAGGCCAGGCAAAACAACAGCTTCCACAAGCACTAAAATTAACACCCAGTGCAGCACCCGTGAGCAGCCTCACCGCAGCCCCTCGGGACACACAGGTGCTGGGCACACGCAGGCTTTGCACCCTTAGCCCACGGCGCACACGTCCCAGGGCTTGTGCAGGCCCCAGGGCCACGCACTGGGCAGGATGGGGAGAAGTCCAGGGTGACGGTGGCCAAGCCACCCTGCACCAAGGCCCCAGACCAACCGTGGTTCCCGCGCCGGGCGGGAGGGCAGGAGCGCTAGTCCTGGGCGAGCGGAGGGGGAGCCAGGTGCAGCTGGAACGTCTCGTTCTGGAAGACGCTGCTGGTGGCAGTGTCGCCGTGGGAAGCGCTGAGCAGCCCGTGCTTCTCACCACCGTGCCCGCGGGACAGCTCCGTCAGCAGAGCCAACTGCGGGACAGAAAACACGCAGCCTGAGCTGGAAACACTCAGGGTGAGGTGTGGAAGGACCTGGAGAGCTCACCTGCTCCCCACAGCAACCAGAACCCGCCAGCCATCTGCTGTGGCAGGAGACAGCAGGACCCACTTGGACTATCTTTACCAATTTAAAGCCCAAAGGAAAAGCAGCAGAACGAACCCTGGAAGTGCCTCGGTTGAGCTGGCAGAGTTGGTCAAAAGCTTGGATTTGCTGAGGATCCAATGGAGACTCTGAAGCCACCTGATAAAAGATAAGAAGGTTACAAAAGCAACGCACGAGATTCAAATTGATCTCCCTAGAAATTCATCCCTGCTCCCAGTTGCCTGCCTGGAGCAGCCAGGGCGCAGCCTGGTAGGAGAGGACAAAAAAGACCATCTTTCCACTTCTGGAGTCACTTCTGCTCACGCTGTAGGGAAGGGCAAGCTCTCCCCTGGGACCAGCTGGGAAGCGACGTGCTGAGGCTCCCCAGGTAAGCTGCCCTCCCTCTGCTTTCCCCCGGGATTTCTGCCTCATTTCCCCAGGCCCCGCTCCATCTCCCTGCTGGCTCACAACACACAGCAGCAGGCTGTGATCAGGCACAGATGGCTCAGGGCTATTACTGGGGAGCACTTACTATTTAAATTACTACTAAAGTTGTCTCCCAAGGTCCCTCTTTTCCCCACACCATAAACTAAACGCTAGGAAGCAAGGGGGAAAAGGCTAGGGGGAAAAAAGGATGATTCACACATGGGGAGCAGTCACATCCCAAGAGAATTTGGGCATGACGGGCACGGAGCTGCTGCCAGCAGTGCCAGCCTTGCAGGTGTGAGTCCGAGGAACACGAGCAGGCTGGATGCAAGGGCAAAAGCACCAGGTGCAGACAAAGAAAAGAGATTTGCAGAGACCCTTCATTGCACCACAAGGTTAAGGCGCCGCGCGACAACAGTGCTACTATAAACCAGGCTGAGATGCAAGCTGCTTTAAAAGGCATCGTTTAACTAGGCCGGGGAGGGAGGGTGAGGTTTCGCATTCTGGGCGGCTCGATCCGTTTGATCGCATCACAATATTTCTATTTTGAACATTTCTGCTCGTGTTCCAAAACAAAAGCATCACGCAGGAGCCGCGCTGGGTGCCAGGGAGAACAGCCGCGCTCCCRAGCCGCAATCTGGCAGCTGTCATCTCTGGGGATCTATTTTTATGGGAACGCTCAATATTCCTTCTTAAACATTTTCTCAAGAAAACAGACACTTCCCAGGGGCTGCTAAGCCACAGTGCTACAGCCCTACAGCAAGGGGCTGCTTATTGGATTTGAATTTACCTTGACTCTCTTAGGCAGCGGATCAAGCCCAGTGATCCGCCAGTATCGCTGCCTTCAAGGCTCGAGTCCTGGTGTGGGGAGGTCRTGGAGCCAGGGATGAGGGAGGGATTCGGAGACAGGAGAGAGGGGCATTTGACCACTGATCACATCAACTTGGGGGCGGCAGCTCAATTTTCAATCAGTACCCAAGGAAAGTCAGGCACAGCCCTGGCACCCGGGCAATGAAAACCACTTTTGAGACACTCRAGCAGCGTGAGAGGAGGGCAATGACCAGAGTGCGGATCCTGCACCCTGGGTGTCCGTGCTGACTTGGATTTCTCCCCCTCGGGATGTTATTTGTATCACAAAACCTCTCTGCTAAGCAGCCATCACAGGGCCAGCGCCTGTATTKGCAGCACAGCCTCCGAACCAGGAAGCCCAAGGGTCCCATTCCCGCTGCTGACAGGGAGCAAAGCATTCCCAAGGGACAGCTAGCTCACACTCCCTAGGAAAAAACTGAACGCACACGGAAAAACAGCCAAACATGGAAAAAAATAAACACAGAAAAAAAGTCGAATAAATACGGGGAAAAAAAAAGTAGAACAAACATGGAAAAACCTGCTGGACAAACTGCGGCAGCGATTCCGCGCTGCGGGCGCCCCTYGGGGAGCCAGCGTCCCGGCTGGGAGCGACCCGCGGCTCCCGGCATCGGAGACACCAACAGGTTGCAGCAGCCCCTGCTGCACTTAAATAAGTCTGTTCCACAGATCCTCCGAGCCAGGGACTGTTTTGTTGGAAGGGAGCGGCTTTCACGTAACCCTAGGAGCGTGGCRATTGATCCAAAGCTACGGCAGGGCCTTTTCCCGTTAATCCTGCAGATGGGAACACTGCTGCACAAGAAAATGCACAGAACTGCCCGTCAATAAATGGGTATTTTCAGAGTTGTGAAACCTTTGCAGAGTGCTGGTACTTGCTGGGAGTCGGGATGAGAGCTCCTGGCTGCGCTCACACTGGGGCAGGAGGTTCCAAGCACATCCCCCATACGGGTCCTTCAAGGAAGGGCTACCACCCGATCCAGTGATGGTTCTGCAGTGGTTTGGGACATCTCTCCACTGCCCCCGCTCCAGTTTCAAGGCAATTGCTATGGGAGTCATGCATGCAAAGCAGGAATGGAAAAAAAAGCCGCCCTGTCTGCTGGGCTGTCGCTCTGCATATAAATCTCGGCGGCGCTGCAAAATCCAAAGTGACAGCCTTTGTTTCAGCAGAGCACGACCAGTGCTGCGAAACGCACTCCAGATGCTCAGTGGCATTTGTCAGGATGAGGCAGCTTTTATTGCAAAGCTTGCAAAGAAAATAAATATCGAAAGGGGAGATCTCACTGTGGGGAGGGAAACGGGAAAAAAGGCATCAGGGTGTAGTAAGAGACAAAGTATTTGGGGTCTTTCAAAGTACCTGGATTAGCTCCCCACAGATCTATGGAAAAGGTTCCTAGAAGCAGGAATGGGGTGTAGAAGATGCAGGGAGTGAGGAGCACTTGTATTTCTGAGCTTCTCCTTGGGCTCCCTGTTTGTTATGTGCCCCAATGCCAGACAGGGAGCAGCAGGAACAGCAGGAATAACAGCTTGGCCAGCACGAGGCTCCTGGTGCCAGCTGGGCCGAGAGGAAACGCGCGGGAGAGAACGGCGGTGCCAAAACCCTAGGAGACCTTGGGACTCTGCTCTCGAGGCTGGTGGCCAAGAGGCCGGGCTGGGAACAAGCCCTGATGGGCGGGCCCTGCCGGCCTCCCGCTCCTGCGAGCCCCGTGCTCGGCCTCTCCTCCTCTCTCCAACCCGCACGAGGCCGGCCAGGCTCCGGCCGTTGCTCCCTGGTCCTTCCGTGATAACAAAGCCGGGGTGCCAGGAGGTGTCTCGGCCACCYGGAGGCTCCGGGCAGGGCTGGGGAGCAGGGAATCGCTGCCGCTCCCTGCCCCAGCACTGAGGGGAAGCGGTGGYGCGCGGCCCGCCTGGCGCTACCGAGTCCTGCCGGGAGCCTTTCCTGGCCCACCTACCTCCTCCACACGTCTCCCT